TGAGACTGCTGGCTGTCCTGGAAAAATGCATCTTCATTCTACTTGGACAGGTTTTCTAGGGTAGGGGAGAGAATTCTCTGAGGAACATGGCATGTATTTGTGGTGCTGTTCAAGCATCACAGTAGCCTTTCTTGGGGACTTTCTTTCTTGAAACATCTTACTGGTAATCTTCTTGGGAATTGGTTCTTTTCAAACACCCTGAACTTTACACAAGGAGCCATTATTTGAAACCATCCCGTCAGCTCTCCTTTTGACCCAGAAAAGTCAAGTTCTTTAAAAAAAAAAAAAAAAAGCAAACCAAACAAACAAAAAAGTTGTAAATACGTTATTAGAGCTGTCACTGAAACCTTCTGTAAAAGCAGATGTGAAATGGATACATACAAGATGCCTTCAGGTCAGATGCAAACAAAGCTTATTTCTGGATCTCAGTCTTTTGAATTGGCTCCATAATAGTGGAAGGGGGTGGGAATGGGGAATTTCCAAGTGAGTAAGTTTCACTGGGATAAGAAACAGAAGAAATACCTTAAGAAGCCAGCCTCCCGTATGCTATCAAGCATGACTATGAATTATTTCAATGTGATTGTGTTTTCCAGATATTGGGGGGGGGGGGGAAGTCAAAATGTGAAAGACCTCGTGGAAGCCAGTTTCAGGAATGGGAAAATGCCTTTCAAAGAACTCTTCTATTGGAAAACAATGGAAGAACGTTATACTTTTGTTTGGCTATGTTCCTAGACAATTCAGGCTTTGTTGGTGAAGACATAACCTTAGGAGTGGTTTTAAAGATGCTGGGAAGATTTAACCCATTGCATTCTCTGGAAGAAAGCACATGTTTGCATGCATGTATGTACTGATTCATGTGTATGTGCACACACAGTATAAGCCATCTGATACTGTCAGAGGGCAGAAGTGTAGTTTGAGGAAAACCTGAAGAACAGGAAGACTGGGATTTGTCAGAGTTCTCTCTCAGTAAGGCTGCAAATGCAAGATACCTGACATGAGAATTCAAGGTCCAGGAGAAGCCTTGGACTTGCATTCTTTAGTACTTTGCAGGTATGCTTGCTGGTAAGTGGCTGAAATTTGCAGAATAGCTGGAGTAGGAGGTGTTTAAAAGAAATGAAATTGAACTAAGCATGTTATTTCTGTTACTTCATAATTCTAATATTTTTCAGTTTAGAAGGTATGAACTCTGAATGCCTGTTCTTGAATTTTCCACCTAGGTAGCAGGAAGCCAGATAGCATTTGAGGGCCACAAATCTTCCTTTTTCTTCTGTTACTGTGTATAGACGAGGGTGGCTATATCTAACTGCACTGACTAGAAACAGTTAATGCCAGAACTGAAGAGACTTTAACAGTGACTTCAGGTATTGTAAAATTTTGCAACTAATAATCTGATAGAGGGGAAGAGGGACATAACTTCTGTTTTGTTATATACTACCATGCGAACCCTATGTAAATGGGCCAGAAGGGACATCTAATAGAAGAGCAGAGACCTGTTTGTGATACTAGAGGTAACTTTGTGAAGGCGACTGGGGAGAGGTGGGAGTAGCTAATTGTGTTGTCCTTTGCAGCCGCTAATGTCTTTGAGGGAGGCTAGACTGTCTTTCCACCTGAACACTTGCAGGAAAGTGATATGTTGGGACAACAATCTTGTTGGAGTTGGCATCAAAGCCAAAATCTTTTTACCCTTTGAACATGTGCTAAGTGTTTGGATTTCCTCTTTTTGCACTAAAGAATTGAGTTAATGCCTTGGCTTTCTCACTTTACTTTTGGTTTTGCACGTGCAAAATGAAAGCATTCAATATACTCTTCTTGTTACCATTCCTTAAGGAAGAGGCTGTAGGAAGTCTTTTAATAGCAACTAGATTCCAGGCACAGGTAGATTTTGAGGGTGGCGTTTGTGTGGGTTGAAGTTGGAGTCTATTCTTCTTTTTTTTTGAAGTGTCTTTTGTTATAGATTTGCGCTCATCTCCCTGGAAACCAAGGAATTAGAACCGCAGTCACAGAAGTGAGAGGAGGAGGTTTTAGGAAAAGGAAAAGCTTATTAGAGACTGGGATAGTTACCTGACTTCCTAGCTAATACACACCTGAAAATGAATATACTTTATTTCCACTAACCACACATTAAATACAGCACTTGCTATTGCATTTTTTTCATCTTTGCGATCATAATGGTGAACCTATCTTGAGATTTACAGCTGATTGCAGAGTTCTGTGTTGCTTCCCACCTGTGTGAGAGCCTGCCGTGCCCTTGAATTCTCCTTGCTGTCTGAATACGCTAGCAACACTTCACTGAAAGATCCAGGCTTGTTGCACTTTAGATGTGAGAATGTGTGTTTGGTGGCGACATTTAATGTTGTGCTGCGTTGGTTATCTGAATACATATTTTTTTAATAACTCTGAAAGTTGTTCTTTCTATATGTCAGATGAAGCTGTTTCAGAAAAGACAAGAACTCCACTTGGAAGTATAATGATAGACTTGGGAGGCTGTTACAGCTTTGTAAAGCATAAGTGCTTTGTATTGATGGGCTGAATGTTCAAGGTGTGTGTGCATGGGGAGTCTGTGAATAATTAACCAGATCTGTGTTTCATTTTCTTTTGATTCACTAAGTGTGTGGATTCAAAGTGGGTTCAGCATTCTGTCTGCTTGCTTTATGTTGATTTACCGCTTTGATTATTAATCTTGCTAAGCTGAATTTTATGCAAGTTGTCTCTCGCATCCCCATGAAAGAACAAAATGTTGCTATAATAGCTACCCAACTGTTGAAATTAAGAGCAAGAAATGATATCAACTTTCTTGCATATTATTTTCACAGTTTTGGCTGAAAATATGATGATTTATCAAGGACAGGACACTCAGATGACTGAACAAGACCCCTAGAAACTGACAGTACATGAGGAAGATGGATACCAAATAGATCCCTTCTGGTTTATTTTTTTAATTGCTTATTTTCCTGACAGCATTTTGGATTGAATGGCTGTGTGTCTCATCTGTCTTGTCTTTTGCGTTGCATGTAGAATTGTAGTGAAGTCTGTAAATGCACAGCTGTGGATATACCTGAGCTCTGATTAGGGGCTGGCCTAGGTGCACAGTCCTTTACTTTATATCTGAAGCAGGCACAGATGGTGGAAGGGTTGGAAAAGTGAAATCATGTGAAATCAAGGCTGCTAAAAAAAGATGGTATTTTTTTTATCAGACCACTTGTGTGCAGTTCTAATGTTGCTGCTCTTCCTCTCTTGCTTATCCTCTTCAAAAGGCTTTTAGCAAAGCTGGAAAAGGTGCAAAGTAGGGCAGTAAAGATATGAATGAAGTTGTAGGATGGCTTCTGTGTGATTGTGTTCATTAGCACTATTCAGCCTTGAACAAGAGATCTGATAGAGGTTTATGTGATTAAAAGGATGAAAGATTTACTCTTTCTTCCAAAACAAGAACTAGGGGACATCAAATGGAAGTAGCAGGTGCCAGATGCAAAGCAAAAGGAGGAAAAACTAACTTCTTGTCATAGGTGTAGAGGATGCTAGGAGTATGTGAGCTCAAAAAAAGATTCAACAGATTCCATAGGAGACAAATATATTTACGCTCCAAACCAAAATCAGGAAGGCCCTTAACCACAGATAGCTACACCTGGAGAGGTTATTTAGGGGAAGCTTCATTTACACAGTTGTCTTTGCATTCTTCCCTGGATAGCCACTTTTGGATGGTGCTGGGGATGAGCTACTGAACTAACGCACTTTTTTGCCTACCTTGGTATGGCAGTTCTTGTAATACAGCTGGCAAAATGGGCAGAACTTTCATGAGCAACAGTGCTTTGTTGAAGTTATTCTTTTCATACAATGTTATAATAGAATCATGAATGGCTTGTATTGGAAAGGACCTTAAAGATCATCTAGTTCCAATCGTTATAATAGATCTGTAAGCGTATCCGCTCTGGATTTTTCAGTTAGACGCACTGTTAAACAGAATTGCATTGTTGCAGTGGAAAAGCAGAATTTGGTTAACCTTTGAGTTTCTCTCTGAAGCCAACATTTTCTTGGCTTTCTCAAGTCAAAGCGTAATAGTTGTAAGAAATCTGTATTAATTACTGCAGAATGACTTACAGCAATCTTTGTCGGGCCTTTAGTCCAGTGTTTTGGATAATTTGTTAGTGCACTTATCACTGTATAAGAGCATGCATGAACTGTAAAATTTGCTTATTATTAGTGTCCTGGCAATGCAAACCTCTGATGATGTCCCTTTTTGCACATTAATTTATATGCAGCCTTCCTTTCAACTCTCAAAAAGGAGTTTTAACTGCATTTGTTTGTTCAAAACAAAAAAACCTGTGTAGTCAGATTGCTTTTCAGAGTTACTGGAAGTTACTAATGAGAAGGGTGGGACTGTTACACCCCTTCTGCTTGCTTTAATTAAAGAGGAGTATGGTGGGGCAGATGTCAGTCTCTGCTTCTGTGAATGGTGCATTAATCCTATCCTGTCATTTGGCAAAGCAACCAAATAGCATAAAGGCATAGGAGGGTGGTGAGGCACTGGAATGGGTTGCCTGAGGAAGTTGTGAATGCTCCATCCTTGGTGGTGTTCAGGGCCATGTTGGACAGAGCCTTGAGTGATGTGGTTTAGTGTGAGGTGTCCCTGCCCATGGTAGGGGATTGGAACTTCATGATCCTTCATAGTCCTTTCCAGCCCTAACTATTCTGTGATTCTATTTGTTGTCTGCAGACAGTGAGGTTTGCTCTGGGATGGTTTGTGGTCTGCATTTAGTGTGCCTTATGCAATCAGAAACACGAAATCTCATGTTTTAAAAGGCATATGTTAAATACTTTAGAAACTTTCTGCTAAAGGTCACCTGACAACCTGACACAGTACCTTATGGACGTATGGAATATGGCAGTCATTATTGAGGTGTGGTGTCTCTTTTTTCTTTTGTTTTGGGGGGGTGGGTGGTGTTTGTTTTGTTTGTTTTTTTTTTTGTGTATTTTTTTTTGTTTTTGTTTGGTGTTTTTTTTTTTTTTTTTTAAGCCTTCTAGCCCAAAATGAAAATTCTTTAACAAAAGTTTATTTTATTGAGTAATCTTTGTACTGGCAACTAACACAGGCAAAAAGGATGCTCCTGTTTTAACAGCAGTCCATTTGTGTTTTGACTCTCAATCCAGTTGTGAATTAGCAGCTGAAAATTAATGTAGGGCTCGTCTGTCCTGGAAATGGATGATGGTCAGCTGCAAGAAGTGGCAGTAAACACTGCATATTTAGCACCTTACTCCTTTGGTTTTGGATTGGTCCAGATTGCATGTGAAAATAAGGATAGTGTAATGAACCCTTATCCATGCTTTACAACAACTATTTAAGATTATATATCTTTGTGTCATCTCGTCCTGGTTTAAGCTGAGTCAGTAATTAAGAAAAAATCACATAGCTGTTCACTCACTCCTGCCCCGCTTCCTCCCCCCACTCTGCTCCCAGAGGGATGGGGAGGAGAATCGAAAGAATGTAACTCCCAGGGGTTGAGATAAGAACAGTCCAGTAACTAGGGTGTAACACAAACCACTGCTGCTACCACCAATAATAATAATGATAAGGGAAATAACAAGCGAAGAGAATACAACCGCTCACCACCCGCCGACTGATACCCAGCCCAGCCCGAGCAGTGATCTAGCCCTGCTGGGTCACTGCCTCCAGTTCTGCATCCTGGGCATGATGGAATACCTCTTTGGCTAGTTTGGGTCAGGTGTCCTGTGCTTCCTTCCAGCTTCCCCTCTGCCCTGGCAGAGAATGAGACTCGGGAAGTCCTTGGTCAGGCTAAACATTACTAAGCAACAACTAAAAACATTGGTGTTATCAGTGCTGTTCCCAGGCTGAAAGTCAAAAACACAGAGCTGCACCAGCTACTAAGAAGGAGGAAAATGACTGCTACTGCTGAACCCAGGACACATTTGTACTGAAAAAAGTAAATCCAAGTGTTTTGTTCTTTCCTGAGCTTTATAAATGCTGTTCAGAAATCAAATGCACCTGTTTCCTCAAATCAGAGTATTTTAAAGGTTGCTTAATAAGTTCTATCAGAAGCCCTTTATTTTGGTAGAGTGGTGATTTATTTTACTACAATATCTGCTAAGTGAGATGTTGTCCGTCACTTAAAGTAGCATGGTTGACCCAGCTGGTTCTTTAGCTCCTTTCCATCCTCAAAGCAGGTCTTGCTAGCCAGCCATTCTGTATGTTGTCTTAGTGAGATGTTAAACACTGACAGACTACTGATAGTCTTTGTCTGGTCTGAAAAGCTCTCTTTTAATGCATTGGCCAGAATGTAGGTGAAATGGCATGCCTGGCTTTAAATATTCAAAATATGCCCAAGCTTGTCCCTAACAGCTGTTACGGCTCTTTATTTTAATGATGTAAGCCTGGGTACTTCTGGCTTGTCTAATCAGCTGCTTGTTAAAAAGCTGACTGCCACCAGGGTAGTAGCGGCTGGTTTCAGGGAGCGTGAGTCGTGATGCTGACTTACATGAATTAGGTAGTTGTAATTCAGTGGCGCTGACACAAAGAAATTAATGCGTGCTCATGTCTCCTGCCCAGCCCTTTGCAGCTGTTTGTCAGATTGGAAGCTGCGCTTGGTGAGGGTGGTCTCTAGGGCTGCTGTGCACCTATGTGTCAACTGGGATGTTGTCTTATCTGTTTAAAAGCTCATTGAAGTTGCATATCCCTTTCTTAATTCTTTCTTTATCCTCCTCTGGCTAGCTGTCCAGGCTTTTGTGAACAAACCAGAATTGATTATACCAATTAGATAGGCCCAGGGGAGATTTTGAAATGTATATATTTTTTTTTTCTTTGCTATTAGATAGCTCTTTGCTACTCCTAATGGTTTGTGCATCCGTGCTTTGATGCATTTGTTTTCTTCCTTTTAACTGTTCTCAGTACATTTGTTATTTAGGTAACATGGTTACCTAAATATGTAAACATGGTATCTAAAATATGTTACCTAAATAACATGTGATCTTTAGGTAACATAGTAGATGTCAATGTTTAGCTTGAAATGTCTAACTTAATATTAAACTGGCGATATTTCCAGCTGCTGTTAAAGTGCTGTTTGCCTTCCCCCCCTGAATTGTATGCATCTGCATGAAAGATGAATTAAATGTCACTTGCTGTGCTTCTAGAAGTTGAATGGTCCAAATAAAGACTTTGTATACTCAGAAATAAGTCAAACTACAAGCTGTTGCAGGCTTTTGAAGGAGTCAGGTTGTTTGAGCTGTTTCTTGGTTATAACTTCCTTATCTTGAAACAAATTCAGTAAAAAAGAAAAATACGATTTGGTTAAGAGGCAGTGGGAAACTGTGGTTTGACATGTAAAGCTATGACTGTTCATGTGTGTCTTACCAAACAGAATGCATGCTACAGCACATAGCTTTCCTTTCTTGAAAATATTTGTCTTTTTCCTACAGAAGAAGCATATGGTGTCCTTTTCTGACCAACTTCCTCTTTCTTGACAAAAGTTCAGTAGTAACTTATGTTCTGAAGAAATGGAAACTCTACAGAAAGTTGACTTGACAATTGAGAATCTTGACTGTTGCGGTAGTTTTGTAGTATTGACTCAATATGCCTGTTCTAATAAAAATAAGCACATCTCACCATGTGAACTGGATGCTCACCTTGGAAAAGAGGATAGAAAGAAATCACAGCTTTGTACTTTTAGTTGTTTTGTACAGCACCTAAGGAGTGATCCCAGAATCATAATATTGGGTTGGAAGGGACTTTAGAGATCATCTACTTCCAAACCTCTGCCATGGGTAGAGGCACCTTCCACTAGACCAGGTTGCTTAAAACCCCATCCAACTTAACCGTGAACACTGACAGGGATGGGGTATTCTCTGGGCAACCTGTGCCAGTGTCTCAACACCATCACAGTAAAGAATTTCTTCCTAATATGTAAATCTAGTCTCTTTCAATTTGAAGTCATTCCCACTTGGCCTATCATTACTTGCTCTTATAAAAAGCCCCTTTCCAGCATTTTTGTAGGCCCCTTTTAGGTATTGGAAGGCTGCAATAAGGTCACTCCAGATCATTCTTTTCTCCAGGCTTAACGAGCCCCACTGTCAGCCTGTCTTCACAGGAGAAGTATTTGAGCCCTCCAATTGTCTTCATGGCCCTTCTCTGGAAGGATGTTATGTTGTTTGTTGTTGTTGTGATGTTATGTATTCAATCAGTTTTCTCTCCTGAGTACCAGAAGTAAGCATGTCTTTTCTTAGGCTACGCTGAATTTTTCCTTTTAAGATTATTAAGTGTTAAAGATCTTTCCCATGTCTGGTGTTGGTCAAAGTCTCCAGATGCTCTGTATTGAAGCATGTAGAGACATTTCACACCAATACCCTTCTTAGATTAGTTTTGTTTTGGAAAAATACCAAACCACCTTGGTATATTCCCAGTTCATACCTATGTCATCATGGTGCTCTGTTAGCTAGTTTGCTGAACTATTACATGTTTTTGCAGTGTGAGTTTGCAGATATCCAGAGCTTAATCCTTTCTACCTTCATGACTAGACCCAGTTTTACATGATACATTTTTATAGCAAAATGTGAAGGTAAGTTGTTTCTACTCTCTTTGTGTAGAACTAATTCTGGAATGACCTCTGTACCCAGTCATTTAGTGCTCTTATTTTGGGTTACATCTTTTTGATGTGAGAGCAGGTATTTTAACTGGTGAACTTTTATCATTTAGGTCATGGCTTAAGTAGGTGGCTTGTCTAACTCAAATTTTCAGGGCACCCCCAGTCTTGTTCTCTTTGCTTCATCCAAACACACAAATACAAGTGCAGCTGGCAGGTTGGCCACGCAAAGACCCTGCCTGTGTTGCCCATGATTCATTCCAGAGTGATGCTGGAATCTGGAGGAAAGGTCTCCCTGTGCATGCAGATTCATGCCTCCTTCTCCCTTCTCTGTATTAGGCTGGTTTCTTGCATGCCAGCCATAATCTGGAGATTAAAAGAGCAGCAATGCTTAGTAAGACTATTGCAGGTTTGAGTCAATGTGTTAAAAGCCAAAACAATGGCAGGGGAGGAGGTCATGGTGACCTTGATGGTTCCTAGGAGGACCTAACCCTTGTGTTGCTCCTTGTAGCTAAGTGTGTTTTTATTCTCTTTTCCATACTTCCCTCTCTCTTCACTTCAGGTTAGTTCTAATTCTTTCTCCTATTTTGACTTCTAGCTGGGGTCATCTACTGTTCAAGCATATACACAAATACCAAATTCAGAGTTTGTATATGGAGTGCAGTCTTTGATGTGAATATCACTTCCTGTGTTGCCACAGAATTAGGATTCTAAAAAGTACTCTGAAAGCATCAGAAGCATCCTCTGTAATATATTAAACCCATACTTTCCAGTGTGCCTCAAACACATACATTTTTCCAACACATGACATTGTGAAAATAAGATGACAGCTTTAAAACATAGTGCTTTGGCTAAGCCTTCTCCTTCCATCTATCTTTTTGGTTGTAGGGGCTCTTGATGTTACAGCCTTCATATGGCACATGAATTCTTGGCAGAATTTCTTCTGCTTTCAGTCCAGACCTTTACTGCTGCTCTTCTCACACATTAATATGTTGGGGGGTTTATATTCAGTTTCTGTAGCCTTGTTGTCCCTTGTTAACCACAAGGGATAAATAGGTCTTGTTTTACAAATTCACAAGACTCTAACATAATTCCTGCATTAATACTGCTTGGTTGTGTATCTTTTCTCCTTCAGTGATCTCTGGAGTTGTCTTCCTCACTATGAGTGAGGCCCTCAACTATGTGTCTTTCTCCCTTTCTACCTCACCTTCAGGAAAATGGGTTACCAATTTTTTCCTGAAAAAGTGAAGTCTTCCTCATTGGCTAAAGGTACAAAAATTAACTCCAGAAGAGCCTCAGTTTTGCTAGTAGTAATGTGGAGTGTTTTCTCTGCAGTAGGGTGCAGATGGAGATCGCAAGGTGCCCATGAGATAGAATCATAGAATCAATAAAGTGATAGAAGTGCCTGCCTTCTCTGTATAACTAATTTAATTGGCAGTTAGCTTTTCAGTTGTGATATTAAAGGCACTAGATGCATTGGGTGCACTTTCTTCTGCCCCTGAGGCCTCCAGCCCTCGGGATTGGTGCCACATGCCTTGCTGACCCTATGGGTGGATGTGTGCCGTCTGGAAATGCCTCCAGCAGACCAGTTCATCATGGAAGGGAAACAAATGCATTAAAAAAATGTCCAACATAAAGGTTACTTTGGGACTGGTAACAGTCAAGCAGCTTGCAGAAGACTAATCAGGTTTGGGACCGATAAGCATGGAATTGATTACATTGGTTACAGCTTGTCTTAGGCTCTGAGGCCCTTTTGGTTTCACCTCTCTCCCCACAGGCTATAGATCTGTTATCAAACACGTTGCTACTCAAACCTGCTTTTTGCAGAAACAAAAGTGAGATTGAGCACTAGGTTTCCTCCCATTGCTGGTTTCCACCAATGACTTTGTAGCCTGTAAAAATCTTTATTATCCTCAATGGTAGTTGAATGGCCCTCAGTAGAAAGTTGGCAGTGAGTTGCCAGTGAAATAAGTTTGTGCCGCTCATGCCCACTAAACACTATTGACACCTAGCTTCGAAGCACAGCTCTGTAATCCTGCTGAAGAGGCAGCTTTGCCTACTTCTAAAATGTAGATTGACTTGCTGCTCTCAATTTTAGTTGGAAGTTGAGGGATTTATTTTTATTTATTTTTTTATTTTCCTTTTGAAATGCCCTTTGAAATTTCCTTTTGAAATGTGTAGTACCACATTACAGGAGAGATGTACTCCTTGTTCCTCTCGGTGGGGCTTGAGCTAGACTTTCAATTAATAAATCGGATTACTCCTAATCAAACTAGTTTTGTGACAGAGAAATAGGTTTGTATGCATCCAGGGATTTGCTCTTAGCTGTACTCCCTGGGCAGAGACAAGGTGTAATTTTAGGCTTTGAGAGGTGGACTTAGCCAGGATTGCTGTAGGTACTGTTTTAAGACTGAGTTCTATAAACGTAGGATTAAGGATAATAATGTATTTCATGATCATTCATCTAGATAACTACTTTACAATATATGGGAGGGTTATTTCTGTAAATTAAAGCAATTAGATTGTGACTTCCTGCACGGCCTTCCTAATAGGCTGGTGAAGCCTTATCTTGGTACCACATGTGTTATTTCAGTGCCACTGCAAAGTTTTTCTGTTCTGAAGATCCAGAGGCAGTTAGAATTCAGCCTTGCCAGGAGCATGGTGAAGTACTTTCCTTTCTGCTCTGGCTAACACTTGGCCTTACAAGAAACTACACTTCAATACAAGGGGTTTTTATTTGTTTCAAGTGGTGTGCTGGCTTTTTTCTTCATGCTGTAGGTAAGCATTCTTAATCATAACACTGGTTATGATTTAAAAAATTCGGCCTGGATTTCTGAGCTACAAGTTTGGATCCTAAATGCACCAATTTTTCCTCCCCTATTTGGGTAAGACACTTTGAAGTCAAGCAAATGCAGTTTAACTTTGAAACCAACAATGATACACTGTTGATGACTACAGTGGTACTACAGGTCCTTTTTTGATAAGCAGAATGACATTTTTAAAGGTGGTTTGCTACTTTTTCTTCTGCAGGCTCTACAGTACGTAAGGAAGTTACCATGGAGGGCAGATTGGGGAAAAAGTATATAGTTTTCCTTTCTGCTTTAATTATCTTTGAGCTTTGAGACTTCTCAAATTACACCTTTTTCCTTTTTTCTTCCATTTCATTATATTGAGAGAAGTCATAGAGATGAGGCATATCCCTTTTCTTTTTGTCATTTTTTTTTTTTTTTTTTTAAATAAACCTTGATACCAAGACAGTTTCTTAACAGAATAAAACTACAGAGTATCGAGCTTTTGTTTCATAGGAATGCTTGTTGGGTTTGTGTTTTCTTGGTGGTGGGTTTTGTTGTTTTTTTTTTTAATTTCACTTTGAGATTTTGCATGTGATGACACTTTCCATGAGAAAAAGGTGCTCCTTGCAGCTTCATAGAATCATGTAGGTGATATCTGTTTGGTCCAAAGCCATACTCAAAGCAGGTCCAATGACATCAGGTAAGCAAGTGCCTTGCCTAATAGAGTTTTGATTATCTCCAACGGCAGAGATGCCACCAGCTCTCTGGACTGAATGCTCAGCACTTCTCCATCATTGTGGTGAAAACATTTTCTCTAGTTGGGTTTTCCTGTGTTGCAGCTGTCCATTACTTCTTGTACTGTGCAACTCCAAGAAGAGTCAGACTCTGTTTTCTCTGTACCCTCTGATTACCTAGCTGCAGATAGCAATAAAGCTTTTCCATTCTTAATATTGAATAACCCCAATCTTAGTTTCTCTCAGCTCAGCTATCTTAAATGTTTTTGTAAGAAATGCAGATGATCTAGAGGACTTCTGGCCTGTCAGCTGATTTCTTGCTTTTTGAGGTGAAAGGAAATATTCACTGGAATAGTACCAATTGGTGAAAGACTGCTGAGACTTTCTTGCATGTTCGAGATTACAAGTGTCAACATCTTTCCTTTGCAGATGTTGTATACCTTGTGTCAGACTTTTATTTGTAAACAAGTTCAACTCAAGAGGAACTTGCTGACCTTCCA